TATATAATTATATATTCAATCAGTTATATTTTTGGATGTGACTTTACTTACCGCATTAAATGGACATCTGAATATGCCATTCGAATATTCCTTAATGGTCCTAACTAGTGTGTTCACGAACCGGTTCTTCTGTATGTTCGAGAGAAACGCGCACGCGTCCCCACGCAAGTTATACAGGCGCACCTTTGTGTTATCCGTTTTCCAGAAGTCCATTTTCGACGTTACGTAAATTTGGCTGGTATTAACTTTTAGTATAAGATTTCCACTGAGAGAACTGCGATTATTCAGGTGAACCTTCCAACAATTCATGTCTTCAACAAGCTCCGGTGCATACTTTTTGCAGCTAACCGAGTCGAATATGATTTGGAACTTGCATTTCTCTGTGGATACAGCTCCAATCAGCAGGAAAAAGCAGAAATAAACAAACATGACGGAAGCACAGCTCAATTACCAATGAATTTTGGCCAGAGCGAATGTATTGAGTAGTTTAAATTATTTAATTGGTGTGATACTTATCATTGTAGTGTTTATGCTAAATGCAAGCTATTTAAGCATTAAATAATGTGTATTAAACTCTGTGATCATCTTATATCCCTATATATTTATATATATTTATTTATTTAATTGTTTACCCTGAACCCATTTTCAATGGGAAATCAGGGTTTTGTTGAAATGTATGTAACAGGCATAAGGAGGCGTGGCAAACCTCACAAAGTTTATATATTCTTGATCAAGGCGACGAGCTTAGTCCGTCTGTCCGTCCGGCCGTCTGTCCGTATGTATTAACGCGTCGCTTTCAGAAGATATAAGAACTGGAGACTTCAAACTTTTTTTTAAATGTCCATATTTACAACGCGGAGCTTATCACTAAAAATCTGTAACTCATCCCGTTCTTTTTTTATCGATAAGAAACCCTTTCGAAAATCAGTTATAAACTTATATCTCTTACATCTTTGGAGCTACAGTCTCCAAATTTTTAATGTATATTTATATACCTTTTATACAATTTTGGATTTAGCTAAAAATTACCCCCAACCCTCATTCACCCCCTCATCCACATTCATTACTAGAGACTTGTGCTTTGTCAAATACATGCATATCTTATATATTATAAGATAATCATAATCGGAAAGTTTCATGAAGATAGTCCATCCACAAGAAAGATTATTAAACTATTAAATTTCCATAGTAAGCCCACACTGCAGCCAATGCGTGTTTATGCGTGCGTGCGTATGGCTGTGTGTGTGCATGTGCGAATATTTTTTGAAATATCAGTTGCTCGAAGGGTTCAGGGGATCTTGTAGTCGGGCAGTCCCGACTAGGGCTGTCTTACTTGTTTTAATATGTGACTATTACTGGCGAAATAGAAGCGGAACTCAAAATTACTTAACTCTTTAAAGTTTTTAATTGAGCGAAACCAATCGCAGCCGCATGAAATCAATTGTGTGTCGATATAAAAAACTATATGAACCTGACTTTGAATAAAGTTAGAATCTTTACACTCATTAATGAAAGTGAAATAAGCATATTGGTTTTGTACTTTGTCCGCCTTGCTGTCCGTCCATTTGTCCACCCGTTCTTCTGGCCGTAGAATTTGCAATTTAGAACGTATATAAAAAGTGTTCCCGATTGGCCTATTGGAGGCGTGGCCAATTGGAAAATACAGGTCACGATATGCCAGAAATCGTATTAGTTGAAGACCTAGAAATCTGAAATTTGGAATGTGGATTACCGTTGGCCACTCAAGATCGAATAGGTATGACGGATATTGGGGCTTGGCAAATCGGTTACAACTGTATATTCTACAGTTTTACAGCTAGAACGCTAAAATTCTATAAAGATCAATGAAAAATTTATATGTCCACTAGTTCAGAATTAATAATATCACATAGGAATCAGTTGCTAATAATTTTATTAGTTTATAGTTCATTTATGAGATGGTCTTTAATCTGCACGATATATTTTCGCAAGGAAGAGGAGAGAAAGAAATTTTCGGCGTTTTATAAAGACCTCAATAGGAGCTGTAATGTCACAGTCGGGTATAAAAGCAGGTATTAGGTTTTCATCCAAATTCCATTCAGACCAGGTGTAGTTAAAGCTCTTAATATAAATATGAATAAATACATTTAAATAAATATGACTTCAATATAAATATGAATATTTGGGCAACACATACAGCTTGCAATGGACATATTAATTTGGTGGCCGCATGCTTTTGTCCAATTTTCTGAAATAAGCTAATGACCTTACTCTTGTATCCTCCTCCTAAAAATTTACACCCATCCAATGTGACTTTTATTAGTTGCATGGTTCTATTGTTTTTTCCTCTTAAGTTCACCGATGATTTTATTTCAAAACTGTGAATAACACGTTTGAGACTCCCGAACGCGTTCAAGTAGCTTCGATTATTGTGTTCATAAATGCGGATATGTGCTTGATTGACTATATCTGGCGCCACGATTTTAGTGTCAATTTTTGTGAATTTCAAATGAGTCGCACCATTTGTATTCTGACACGTCAAGATCAACAGCAGACAGATCGATTTATAACAAGCCATGGTCAATGCTTTATTCCGAATGGCATCGCTACGTGCTGATACAGTCTGTTAAGCCAAATCATTTTCTATATATACAGAACATCAATTTCGAATCAGATGTTTTTAATAAGTTTTATAATTATCGTAGAACATTTCGTAATACTTGCGTTTATCGTAAATAAGAAACGGATGCAAAACATTAAAAATTAGTCTAGATTTTCAATTTGTAAACATGTATGTACTTTCCATACTGACCATAGAGTTGAAGAGCAATTTTTTTGTATTCCCTGAACCAATAAAAAAGGGGTATTCGTGCGCCAAAGACTGATTACAAGGATAACATGCAGAAGGAGACGTGGCAGGCCCCATATATATTCTTGATCAGGGCGGCAAGCGGAGCTGATCATTCCATGTCCATCAATCTGTCCGTATGAACACCAATGTGTGAGCAATGTGTGTTTAGATCTAGAGACTAAAAATTTGGATGCATACTCGTGTATACCGTATGCAATACAAGTTTATCGTATACCCCGTATACCCTGAAGCCCATCAGAAAGGAAAACTATAGCCCTGTCCCTGTCTTTGGATACCACGCCCCTGTCAAAAGCTACAGCCATGTGCTTTACCAAATACACACCCTTAAGCGTTATTATCACGTTCTGAAAGTTTGATGAAGATAGATTTATTCGCTGCTAGCTGCGCAGTTAGCAGAGTGCGTAGATGTGCGTATGTTTGTAAGCATGTATAATAAATAATCGTAGAATGATTGGAGTGCCATCCCTTTGCAGGGCTCAGTGTATCTCCTAGTCGATCAGTCTCCGTTACTTTTTTACTCTCTTTTACTATTTGTTTAACAAATTCAATATAATACAATTCATATTTGCGATTTAGAGTCGTAGAGTTCTTCCCCACTGGTTCTAATTTTGCTCACAATTAATAATATCAGATATTAAACAGTTTCAATATTTTATTGGTTTATAATTCATGTATGTGACTGTTTTTTATCTAAGAACGGGTTATTTTCCCAAGGAAAAGGAGAGAAACAACTTTTTGTTTTTTTGAAAAAAAATCAATATGAGACGCAACTTCACAGACGGGTATAAATTCAGGTAATAGGGTTTCATCGAAGTTCCATTTAGAAAAGGTGTAGTTCCAGTTCTTGAATGAATACAAATAAATGTGAATATTATATAAAATGCATGCTTGGGAAAAACTTACCGCTTTCAATGGACATAATAATTTAGAAGAAGAATACTTTTGCAGAATTATCAAGAATATGTTTAGGAAACTACTCTTGTATCCACCTCTGAGATATTTACACCCATCCAATGTGACTCCGAACACTGGCTTGGTCTTATTATTTATTCCTTTAATTTTCATGGATACTTTTGTTTCAAAGCTGTTCACAGCAAGTTTAAATCTCACAAAAGCATTGAAGTAGCTTCGATTATTTTCTTGATACATGTGTATGGCCGCATCATCGACAATAGATCGTTCCAGAACTTGAGTGTCTATTTTTGTGAATTTGAATTGAACATCACTCGATGCATACCCAGACATCAATATCAAGAGCAGATAAAATGATATATAACTCGCCATGGTAAATGACAAACTCCGATTGGCACCTAATCTCTCCGGGCAGAGTTTAAAAATCAATTATTTTGTATTTTCTGGTTGCACCTATACAGTAATTATGAATCAGATATTTTTGAAATGTTTAAAATTAAAATTGAATCATTTCCGGCCCCTGCAGTTAATAGGAATAAGAACCGGATGCTGAACAGAAAATATAAAATGTTTGAATACTTTTAATTCTATAAGAATACATAATTCTATAAGAACACATAATTCAACATATGTAATATATTTACTTTATTTTTGTTGTTTTTTTTTTTTTTTTTACTATCATAATTTTGTAATGCCAAATTAAACCAACCCACCTTTGGCAACACCGAGATTTGAAGTTACGTCATATTTCGAAATATTGCAACGATCCTTCAGTATATACACAGAGGATATACATATTTTGGATCATGTCGCGACGCCGACCTGAAAGGTTGCACACATTTTTCAGTTATTCTAAAGATTTTGCAATCCTAAAACGATTATATTTCGGGAAATAATTGCAATTCCAATCAGAAACGACTTTAAATTGCTTTATTATAACCTTAAGAAGAGGTATTTAATTTTCATCACAATACCAGCTAAAGAAATTTTAAATATTGTTCCAATTATAGGTACGAATATAGAGAATATAAGATTTTGAATGTGTATTCATATTCAAATTCAAATATGAATGTGAATGTTAGTCCAAAAAATATATTATTGTATTAGTTCATACAATCCATAAATTGTACATAGATCAGAATATACCTTAGCTAAATGATATGGAGAGCTTCATAGATTTTGCATACCTAATATACAATCGAAAATGTTCAATATATTTTATCATTACAATGAATAGTTTAAATGAATAAACTCAGACTTTTAATTTTCTTAATTTTCATACCCAAATGATTTCCGATCTTATGTTTATATTACATCTATGTATATTGTCTGAAAGTGTAGTTGTATCTCCACTTCATTAAAATTAATTTGGAAATTGGTTGCGCAGATTACAACATTTAAATATTTATTTAAAAATAATAATATTATATTCAATGTTTTTTCTTTATTTTCCGATAAGAATATTGTCATCCATGCCTCAGAAATCAACACAATTTAAAAGGCTCTAATTGTTAGAGAGTAACCTTCCAATATTTAGGGCTGTGACAATCAATTTGGAATAGGAATAAAATTTCGTGGATACTTTGTATTTACATTCAGGCAAATAGTTGGGCACATGTTTCTCGGCCATATACCAGTCAGTAAGCGTATAATTGAAGTTCTGCAAATCAAATATTAGTTCAGAAAATATTGGTTATGTTTTATACATATATTATTGATCTACAGATAAATTTTTGATAGATATAACGCGCCTCAAAATATAATCTATTAGTGTATTGGTGATCGATATGAAGTCACATCTTTTTTTTAATTTCAGTAATATATATATTAGCTAACAGATATCGACTACTCACCGTTTTCAGTGGGCACTTGATCATTTCGCCTAATCTAGTTACAAAAGATTTCGCAACTTCCCGGTATAAGCGCACCTTATGCAAGGCAGTAAAATACTGACAAAAGTCCATGCGATTGTTGTAAAGCTTCATCGTCTGATTGTTTGCCTTTATGATGTCGAAATTAGTTATCATTTCAGCCTGGTCGATGCTACGCCGTAGAATCATATTACAACTGAGGTAACTGCGATTAGCTTGTGTCACTACACATTTGAGCTCCTCAAAGAGGTCAGGAGCATGATGCTTCACATAAAACGTATCGATCACAAGTTTAAGTTTACGTTGCTCTTTCTTAGCATCTAGCCCAAGGGTTAGAATTATCAGCAATAGAGATAGCTTAAACCAACCAGCCATGGCTGAAACTCGATGCGCAATGTTTGCTGAACTCTGCTTAGTATATCAGGTTCATAAAGTAATAATAAGCTTCGAATCACACGCTTAAGTAGAGTTATTATAGATTGACAGATTGAGATTAACAGACCTATTAAAAATAATAGTACAATTTTATAAAATTGTTGTATTGTTTATAAAATTCATTTTAAAAATATTTCTCTCTGTGCTCAAGGTAATCATTTTGGAATCATTCTCGATCATTAAGTGAAAATTATATATCGGTTTTCTGCAAATCCCGAGTTGCTGTTTATCCGAACGAAGTTAATAAGAGTGGGGTAAACGGGTTTACCCGATTAGGGGATAGCCCCATCACCTCGGAGAGAAGATATTCCGATCATTCCCATCATGGACGTCCGCTCCGAAAATGTACGAAATATAAAAGAAATTTGGTATTAAATCGATTTAATTAAAACGGAAAGAGTCATCGATTTTTTATCGATTAATTCAAGTCACCAGCTTTTTTAGGTTCTGAGACCGACTAGCAGACAGGTTCAAGAATATATATAATTTATGGGTCTGTCACGCCTCCTTCTGTGTGCTACCAACATTTTAAGAAAACCCATATGCTACGGTATACAAAACCCTTTATCTAAAAACCCGGTTTTATTCAATACATTTTATAATATAATTTAGGTTGTAATAATTTATTATTATTTTTTTATTATATATGTCTATTTTGTCGGCATAAATATTTAGTGCTTATAGTCGACATCGCCTTCAAGGAGCATGCGTATAGCCACTTTCTGATGAATGAAGAATTTAGATATTGCTTTGAAATGGCATTCAGGCACGTATTGGGGGAAATCGTCCTCACTAAGGTGCATGTTGCTAATAGTATAGTTGAGACTCTAAAAGAGGTCCATTATTGTAGATTATATGCAATATATACATAATGATACATACATAGAGACATGTCGAATGAATACTCACTGGCTTCAAGGGACACTTTAGGTGTCCATTGCTTCCTCTATTCACACTCTTTGCGAACAGATTGAAGATGCGATTTTTGTGAATAGTTGTTAGAAACTTACACGCATCCAAACGTATGTGGTATAAACGCATTTTCTGTTTATCGGCCTTGATTATGTCCAAGGATGTCTCCAAATCCATCTGATCTATTTGCCGCTTGAGTATCCAAGCAATACTAAGCGTGCTGCGATTAGGCTGAGTCCAATTGATGCTTTCAAAAATATCTGGAACGGTGGGTCTAATGTAAAAGTTGTTGACTACAAAGCGAAAACTGCGATGTTGAGCCGCAACTGATAAATCCAAACAGACCAAAACCCAGAGCCAACCGGACATGGCGAGAGATGAGTCTCAAGTGGCACAATGGACAAAGCATGAAATTATTACCAATTATCTGATAACTACGAATACTTAAAATAACATTAAAATTTCGAATTATGACACGCGCCTGAAATTGTTTGTTTGGCATTAATTATCTGCTCAGATCTGTGAACTTCGTTCTAATTTAAAGTCAGCACGTCGATTTTATCATTCGGATGCAATCAAGAAAATTTCTAGATTTACATTGAAATTGAAACTATTCAGATTTATTGAGAACGAATATTTTTCAAGGGGATCGATTTTTTTTTATTCGATTTATCGCGATTTTCGATTTAGACTGTATTTGATCCCTGATCAATTAGGACATTTCTAGCCATTAGTAATGAAGCTTTAAGGAAAGAATGTAGCTTTTTGGGTTAATCTATTATTTCCATCTATCCATCTATCTAAAACTATTTGATTAACATAACGAGAAAAGAATCTATTAAAACTGTCAAGGATATTCCTGAACTCTAATTTTATATTCCACGACAAGATCCCCTTCAATTGAACAAAATTATATTGGACATTAGCCAGACATTAATGGACGAATAATTGAAATTAGTTTCATAAAGATTCTGTGCCAAAACAATTATTCCAAGCTGAATGATTGACTGAAATAAATCCATAAATAGTCAATTAAGTTAATGTCAGACTGATTGAAGGTTTGAGTAGATTTTGGAAACCTCTTTATATGCGTACTGTACATGTTTGAATTTGTCTATATAATAATTTGAATTCCCTCTGTGCTTTCGAAATTTCATTGTCTTAGGTAGTGTCTCAGTCGAATAGAAAAACATTGGCTAGAATCCCTCTTTAAAGTAATCTGATTATTTATTGTCCAAGCTTACATATTCGCATTTAAAGCAAGATATTTTGTATTAGTTTTTTTTAATTATATAGATCAATTTTATATTTTGACGCGATTCTTTGGTCCCCTTTTCTTGTTAAGAACTGGATGTAATTGGCCAGAAATATGCAAATTGGCTAGTGGCTTGGTCTTTTCTCGAAACTCCACGTTGAAGAAGTAGCTGCACTCGGGCAGCAACTCGGGCAGAATGCGTTCATCTATGTAGCTGCGTTCTAGTGTATAATTCAGATGCTAAAAGCAAAGATTCGTTATGCAGTAAACGAAAAGGGACTAGAAATTAGTGCCGACAGATCGACTTACCGGCTTAAGTGGACAAGACGGTTGCACATTAATGAAGTTTACGAATCTGTAGTGGAACTGCTGAAGAAATTTGCTTTTGTAGGTGTTCTTTAAAAAGCTGCAAACATCGAATTTCGAATTGAAGAGACGAACACGTGGCAAATTTGGACGTGATATTTCCAAGGAGGCTAGTGCAATGACGTTGTCTACTGATCTACCCAAATACAAGTGCCCAGAGAGGTAGCTACGATTGCCAACATGCTCAATGGTGGCGCTCTGCGAAGGAATCAACTCCCGATCTATGGGAGTGAAGACAAACCGATCCACGCTCACCACATACTCAGCACACCCACTCCCAGCCCAGTCGAACACCAAGATTAGCAGAAAATATGCCCAGATCCGCAGCAGCTTCATTTTTGGCCACCTTGAACGATGCCCGTGCAATTAGAAACTGTTCTCTGACTGACCCCAATTTTCAATTTAGCGACATTGGAATGCGACAGGAAATTGTTTTATAATTGATGGATGATACAATACAATTATCTGTAAAGCTGTATATATTGTAATCGGTCATTAGCCAGCATTTCACAGAATTTTTCTTACAAATATAGCCATTAGTAATTACATATTTTGATGTGTGTGTTTTTATGTATACCCTGGCCATTACTTAAATTGTAGGTTTTCTATTTCTTTAACTATTTAAAAAGACTTCAGGAGTTACTTTTGATTCTGTTAAAACCTTGCAATATATTCCATGATTTCAGTGGAACATGGAACATTTGGCAAATGTCAAATATGGCAAGTTGATGGAAATTATATAATTATATAGCATACTATTTTCGTATACTCATTTATTATTCTTTTTACGCAATAAATAATAAATTAAACAAAAAGTCACAAAGCTGTAGTCGAGACTGCTCGACTATAAAATCGTCTGAGCCCTTCGAGGAACTGATATTTCAATAATTCTTCGCGTCTCTCTTTCTCTCTCTCTCCCTCTCTCGCTTCTGTGATTTTTATCTAATAATACAAAATCAAATTGAAACACTGTGCGTTGAAACGACTTAAGTCTTGCACGTTTAATCAAAAAATGCTTCGTATATGAAAGATTGAGTTGAGAAGGCGGCTAAGTACATATGATATAATGTAAAAAAAAACATGCACACACAAATGCACACCCTCAAAAAAATAAAAAAGACTGCTCGACTACGAGATGCCCTGAACCCTTCGTGCAATAGCTAACTTATTTAATTACTTTTCTTGTAGACATACTATCTTCATGAAGCTTTCATATAATTATTATAACATGGATATGCATGCATTTGCCAAAGCAAAGCCTTTTAGAAATGTGATGGTAACGGGGTGGATATACGGGTGGGGGGAAATTTTAACAAAAACCGAAATTTTATAAATTGTATATAAATCTACATTAAAAATTTGGAGACTAGCTTTAAAGTTATAGGTGATATAATTTTATAACTGAGTTTCGATAAGGTTTTTATCGATAAAAATATCGATTTTTAAAGCACAACTCGATATCCGCGTGGTATACACGGACATTTTACATTTTTATTGAAGTCTCTAGCTCTTGTATCTTCTGAAATCGACGCGTTCAAATATACTGACAGACAGACAGACGGACGGACGGACAGACAGACAGACGGACGGACGGACGGACGGACAGACAGACAAACGGAAAGGGCTAAATCAGCCCTGATCAAGATTATATACACTTTTTGGGGTCTGCCAGGCCTCCTTCTGCCTGTTACATACATTTCAACAAAACCATTATACCCTGATTTCCCATTGAAAATGGGTTCAGGGTATAAAAAAGAAGGAATGGAAAAAAAGATGTCAACAGAAATGTTAATAACACCAGCGTCAGCAATGTTGGTGTTCTTGTTGTTGCCGCTTTATGTACGGTCTCTATTTTACGCCAAGTGCTTCAGTTCGTCCTCCAGCCCGTTGCCCGTCGCCCGTCGCCCGAAAGCGAGCACCCGGACATCCAAGGATAAGCTCCGGTCGTGCTTTTTGGCTGAGCCAAGTGATGCAAAAACATTTGCCCGTTAAAACAGAAATGCAAAGCAACCAGCATCAGCAAAGTAAAGGAGAGCAAAGGAAAGCGAAGAAAAGCAGAGAAGAGCTGGGCTGAGTAAAGTAAAGTAAAGTTGACTTGAGTGTAGTTCAAACATCACACCTAGTACAGACGATAGACCTACAGACACCACAGAGTACAGGGTAGAGTCTACAGTCTGACATCTGAACAGAGAAAGAGAGAGAAAGAGGGGCCATAAAGAGTGAGAGCGCGAGAGAGACGGAGACAAAGATAGAGACAGAGATGAAGAGCTATTGTGGTTCGCATTATGTAAACATTTGTAGACAAGTTTTCCTAATATCTCCTTTTTTTGTGGAAAGTGATATGGGATATTTTGCTTGAAAACTTATAGTCGGAGAAATAAACAATAACAATCGAAACAATCGTGAAGCGAATATTTGTGACATGTGAAACTAACTGAATTTGAGAATAAATGGAGTGAGGCAATATTATTGTAATACCTATTAAAGTCGAACATTATATGGATGGAATAAAAAGCATAGGGAACTTTGAGAACAACTTTCTTGAATTTTAGCAAATTTAAATGAGTTCATATAAAATTAAAACAGTTTACTATATAGAATTAACCGCAAGTCCATTGCTTCCATCTACATATTTTGCTACATTTATATATATGTATATAAATAATTCATTTTATGAAAGATTAGAGCTTGAGATAAAACCGCCTTTTTGGAATATTTAATTTGCAATTTTTTTTTATTATGAAATATTTTTTAATTCTTTGTTTCATTCTTCTATAACCCAGGTTAGTAATGGAAAATACTAACATATATTTGAATGTATTCCTATATAGTATACATGAAAGTTAGGGAACTATGATTAGTTCACATACTATTTCGAAATTCGGTCATTGTGACGCATCAATGCTTAATTATAAGATAATGGAATTCTCTCTCGGTCCCAAATGAGATAATCTAATTACGCAAAATATTGGTTTATTGAGATTTACGAGTGGAGAAAAGTTTTTATTACATAAAGCATGAAAGCCGCATAACAAATTAAGGCAGATGCCGCAACTGATCCACAGATTCACTCTAAATTCTGAGTGGGAGTTGAAAGAGTTACTGAGAGAACTACAAACACGTGAAAACAAAGTATTAGACAAATTTATGATGATGGAATTTTAAGTGATTTTTAACGAGCAACGGTTGCATAAAAACAAGAAAGATATATTTAAAGGCTATATAAATATACATTAAAAAATTGGAGACTGTAGCTCCAAAGATGTAAGAGATATAAGTTTATAACTGATTTTCGAAAGGGTTTCTTATCGATAAAAAAAGAACGGGATGAGTTATCGAATTTTAATGATAAACTTGATATGCGCGCTGTAATTACGGACATTTTTAAAAAAAATTTGAAGTCTCTAGCTCTTATATCTTCTGAAATCGACGCGTTCATACATACGGACAGACGGACAGAC